TTAAGATTTTCTCAAAAAATTTTTGTATAACAAAAGCGCGTTTTTCTTTTATACTTAATATTACTAGAAACGTAAACCAACAAATAAATAATACTTTTTATTATTGGAAACACAAATCGATAACGAGAAATAAATAATGTTCGAAAATATAATGTCCTCACATGTTTTAAGTTCGAAAAATCAAAATAAACTTAAATAAATGTCAGCTTTTATGAGACATCAGATGTTTTGTGGCATCTGAATATTAATGCTTCATTTGTTATTGTTTTGAATATTATGTGTTGTCAGCAGGCTTTAAAAAATATACATAGAGAATATATGTATGTACGTATATAATACATTCATATGTACATACATATATTTGAATAAAATTATTATTTTGTTTTTGCCTAAACCTTTTCTTTATTTGAAAAATTACATTCATATGTACATATATATATTTGAATACAATTAAAAATTTATTTCTATATGTTCACCCACAGTTTTAAAAAAATAGGTAAACATTCATAATTATGTATTTTTGCGTTTAAAATTTTATTTCTAATTTTTTGAACAAAAAATTTTAAAATATTAAATTCTAATACATTCATGTACCTACATATATTTGAATAAAAATATTATTTTATGTATGCCTAAACCTTATATTTTTTGGAAAAATTTATTTCTGTATGTTACTTCCATGATTTAATAATTATGTGTTTCTATATGCCAAACCACAATTTTGAATATTAATCAACTCATAAAGAAAGCTTAAAAAAATTAGTTAGGAAGCTTTAAAAAAATATACATACATATTTATGCACTTAACTATTATAACAATATTTTTTTGGAAATTTTCTTTAGACTTTTATAATAATATTTTTCTGTTATATATTAAAAAAAAAATAAAGCAAAAATTTTAAACAAAATAAAAAAAATTTTTTTTAAAATAATTCAAAAGTTCTCTCTGTGCTTGCAACGAGTGCACTTGTATTATACGGCAATAATTAAGCATACAAACAATTGTAAAACAACAAAACAAAAAAAAAATTAATACCAAAATAAAACGAAGAATTAATGTAAAATTAGCGGATGAACCGCATGTAATTTCGAAAACGTCACGAAAAAATACAAATTCTAAGAGTGGTGGTACCACATCTAAAGTTACATTACAAACAATAGACGATAATAGTTCTTATATGGATAATCACATTGATGATGAAAGCGTCATAACTAGTGACGTAGAAAGCAAACATGTGCTTCCTACAATTACTATAATCAAGAAAAGGAAAAGATGTTCACGAGCTTTTAAAAGCCTGTGAAATTGACTATTATTATATTAGATCGATTTCAATTATTGGGAAAACTTATTTCAAGTCTGTAAAATCAAACAGCAAACTCATTTCTGCGTTAAATCAACAAAAATATGAATTCTTTACCTATGATTCAAAAGATATGAAACCTTTTAAGGCTGTGTTATCGGGTTTGCAGGTATTAGAACCGGCTGAAATCATAAAATACTTAAATAATAAAGGTTTGAAACATATTGAAATAAAGAAAATTAATAAAAATACACAATCTAATTATGAGTTAAACTTGTACATTGCGTACATTGAAAAAGGTACAACAACTTTAAATAAATTAAGGAATAACTTTTACTACATCCATAAAACTAAAGTTCGTTGGGAACGTAAGATCTCACAGAAAAAAAATTACCCAGTGCTACAACTGCTAAATGTATGGCCACGGGTCTAAAACTGTAAAGTTGTTACAAGATGTGCATATTGTGCTGGTTCGCATCAAGCTTCATTATGTGACAGAAAGGATAGCAAAAAATGTGCCAATTGCAGTGGTAATCATTATTCTTTCGATGATGTATGCCCTAATAAAATCACTTATCTCGCTTTGGTTAATCGTAAAAATCAAACATTACGAAAAACTACTACTTAATGCAACAAAAATTATAACAACATCAGTGCCGCTGATTACAATACTTTATTTCCAAATTCTCTTGGTGTCTGCAACAACAACAACAACAATAAAAACAACACATTATCTTCACTACAGATACCTTGGAGCAATATAATTAATAATACTAATAATGTAAATGGTCAAAACAAGAATCATATGATTAGAGGTAATTTTAACAATAGTAATATTAATACCTAACTCCGCCTGATTGCAATTTGCTATCTGCCGGTCCCAAGCCCGGGAAAAGGAGGAGGGTTTGAGGTAAAGGTTACACCGATCCTCAGAAAAATCTAGCCCAGTGTCTGGGGGGATAGCCAGACCACCCTCTCTTAGGGGTTATAATACTAATTGGCGGTCCTCCTGGTAGGGGGTTGAGCGCAAGGCTTACAACCTTGTCTCGTGAAACACGCTTCTGTATTGGGACCTAGAAAGATGCCTCGGATGAACAGCAGATTGATCACACGGAAAAAGACCCTCGCACAGAACACGGATTATGAGATGAAAATGAGATTAGGAACATTGAACGTATTAAGTTTATATAAACCTGGCGCTCTTAAAAACTTATTAGAACAAATAACGAAATATAAGGTACAAATTACTGCGATACAGGAGACCAGATTTTTAGGAGAAAAAATTTTTAACTCTGGTCAATACGTCATATATTCTAGTGGTAACAAAAATAATGTACATATGTTTGGAATTGGCTTTGTTGTATCAAAACAAGTAAATAGTAACATTATAGACTTTAAAGCAAAAAATGAGAGATTGTCTGCTTTAAGAATTAAAACGAAATTCTTCAACTTGGCGATTATTTGTGTTCATGCACCTACAGAGGATAAAAGTGAAGAAGAAAAGGATTTATTTTATAATAACTTAAATCAGTTGTATGATGAATTGCCGAAAAATGATATAAAAATAATTGCAGGAGATTTTAATGCTCAAATAGGGAGAACATCATCAACTCCACACAGCCTGCATACAGAATCAAATGACAATGGTTGTCGAGTAGTAGATCTGGCACAATACCGTAGAATGGTAATTAGTAGCACGACATTTGAACATAAACGTATTCATAAGGAGACATGGACTGCCCCAAGTAGAAATTTTAAAACCCAAATAGACCATTTTCTGATCGATTCTAGACATCGAAACAACATTCAGGATGTCAGAAGTTTTAGGGGGGCATCACACGATACTGATCATTTCCTGGTGTGTGCTGTTTTTAAGGCAAGAATATCCTCTGAAAGAAAAGAAAGGAAAAGAAGTAAGAAGAAATGGGATGTGAGCCGCCTAAAAGATAGTGACATTAAAAACCAGTTCGTTGATCATATAAACCAAAATTTGACAAACAATGATATGAATGGCAGTATAAATGATACGGACATTAATAACCACTGGAACAGAATTAAATCGGCAGTCACAAGAGCCTCAGATCGAGTTCTAAAAACAACAGCTAGAGCTCAAAGAAATGGCTGGTGGGATGATGAATGCCTATTGGCAAATAATCTAAAAAATGACGCCAGGCAAAAAATGTTGCATCGAAATACGAGAACGAATTTTCTGGAATATAAAAGACTAAGGAATTCAGCACAAAATTTATTTAGAAGAAAGAAAAGAGCATTGCTGG